CCTCATGTTGCTATCGCTGTGTCACTGGGGGTTGGACCGTGTTGCCATCTGCATGCCTGTGCAAGGCTGCATGGGATCAGTGGATGTGTATGGTGGTGCTGGAATCCAGGACGGCACGTTGCACAAACAGGGATGGAGGGGGCGATGTAAGTTTAAGGGGGGAGGGAGTTTGTGAGAGCCCGTATGAGCCGACGGGGACGATGGTCAACCGAAGCTCCCCTAACGAACCCGGTCGGCTGTCCAGGTATCCTCCGCGAAAGACGAGGCAGTTGCCCGCGAACGCGACGTGCGGTCACTGGGCGACGAGAAGGCGGCTGTGGCTGCAGAGGTAGCGGCCGCAGTGGCGCGCGACAAGCAGCAGGTGGAAGCACGGCTGGCGCAAGCGCAGCAGGTGCGTGCGGCGAGGAAGGGGATGTTGTACTGATGTTCCCCTTCCTGCGTAATACCAGCGGAGGGAGGCTAGGAAGGTTTCAACACTAGAGGCGGTTACAGACGTGCAAACCCCCCATGAAGTCCACAGAGGGCGCGGTTCACACCATGAAGACATGCAGTTGTGTGCATATGTTTGTGTCCACAAAGGATGCATGTTGTACAGCCAACCGCCAGTATCATTACAAATCTCCAAGGTCTCTTTAGCTTTATTGTCATGTGGTTGCGGCCGCTCTCCGCAGGAGAATCAGGAGCTCCGAAACCGGCACGCAGCGGAGATGGCGGCCGTGGAGGCGCGCGTCAGAGCTACCCTGGCGCGCAAGGAGGAGGTTATCAGCGGTCTGCGGGAGCAGGCGGCAGCCATGGCAGCAGAGCTGCGGGACACGCAAGAAGTGCTGCGGCAGCAGCAGGAAGAGTTTGGGAGCGACCTGGACGGCGGTGCATCGGCTGCGGCGGCGATAGTGCCAGTCGTGGCTGCCGGGCGTAGCATGTACAGCGAGGCGAGTGCAGGCGCAGGCGCCCGGCGAGGGGGGCGGCACTGAGAGGTGACGGGGGAGGTGCCGCCCCGAGAATAGAGAGCACAGCTGCGGGAAGTTAACCGGGCGGATTATTGAGCGCGTTGAGGGAGAGGGTTTTTGCGGAAAGGTGAACTTGCCTG